ATGGGACCATGCTCCGGCTGCGCCATCTACTTCTCCTCGAAGTCCAAATTTGGTGAGTGGGCGTGAGGTCGAGTAGAGAAGGACTAGGGCTTGACGTAGCCTTTTATTTTTTAAAAAGGGCGACGGCCTTGAGATATCATCATTAAGGTAGTGTGAGGTGGAACTGAGAGAAGAACATAGCTTTTATTTAAAAATAAAAAATAAACGTGCCAGGCAATTCAGAAATAGTTGGTTTTCCAACCTTTACTCATCAATAGGCAATTCAGAAATAGCTGGATTCGAACACGGGTCTGTATTCTCAACAGTTCAATGAGGGCATACTCACACGGAGACCCCAAATCCGCAAAAAATGAGGATTAGGGAAGGGCCGCTTTGAGGTTTTGGGCATGGTTCACGTCACACTGCTGTACCTTTTCAGATGGGACAAGGTAGAGGCCGTCTGGAGAAATGGGGATTTGGTACTTGGCTGGTCACACGGCGCCATCCACCAATTGTGCAAGAACTTTTGTGAACAATTTTTTGCCAATTTTTGAAGAAAATGCAAAAAAAAAAAGGGAATTTGTGGTCACCTCCAGAGGTGACCGCAAAATCCCATGCCTTCCTGGGCTTACTTGGCACCCGCTACCCAAGAGATAGACCACTGGATGGGCTTACTTGGCACCCGCTACCCAAGAGATAGACCACTGGATCCCCCGATCGCCATCAAGCAGAGTCAGCTATGTTCGTAGGGGAGGGGCCTGAGGGGAGGCACGGGGATTGGTCCGCTTTATCCCTGGTGCTACCGGCCGTCCCCTGGCCGGTATCCTGCAGGCTCGAGGGGCCGTAAAAACACTGCTCTGGTATGCTACGGGTTTCCCCTATGCCTATAGATAGGAGTAGTGGTAGGTAGGTAGTGAGAGGAAAAATTGAGAGAAGAGTATAGTTAAAAAAAAAAAGGAAAAAAAAATCCCTTGCCCCGCGGCTTCCCAGGCCGCTGACAAATGGGCACTGGAATAGTACATTTGACCGGCCTTTTCCCTTTTTTTTTTGGGATTTTGGGATTATAGGTCCCCGTGTGAGTATGTCCTGACATTGTAAATACGTGCAGGGGCAGTCTGTTCAGACTTACACATTTCTTTACCTTTTTTTCTTTCTTTCTTTTTTTTTTTTTTTTTTTTTTTTTTTTTTTTTTTTTTTTTTTTTTTTTTTTTTTTTTTTTTTTTTTTTTTTTTTTTTTACCTTCCATGTCCCCGAATTGATTCTGATTGATTCTCCACGTGTTACTTTTCTTTTTCTTTTGGAAAAACTACACAGGAGTCACATAAATGAGTTATAATTACAGTACGGCCCAAGATACAGTTTCGAATTGCGGTTCGGGCAGTGTATACAATGCAGCTTGCTGGCCAGGTAGGGTGCCCTAAGTGCACTGCAAACTGTATCTTGCCCCATACTGCAATGATGACCCGCTTTTGTGACTCTACTGAAGTTCCCGTCTTTCGTGTCTCTGTTCCTCTGTAGCCATTCCGTTGCGGTCGCGCGCGCGCGCGCGCGCGCGAGAGAGAGAGAGAGAGAGAGAGAGAGAGAGAGAGAGAGAGAGAGAGAGAGAGAGAGAGTAGTACCTCTCTTATCTCTCTGCTCTTCCATAGCCATGGCATAATTGACATTGTCATTCAAAACGTAACTACAGACAGAGAGAGAGAGAGAGAGAGAGAGAGAGAGAGAGAGAGAGAGAGAGAGAGAGAGAGAGAGAGAGAAGTACCTCTCTTATCTCTCTGTTTTTCCATAGCCATGGCATAATTGACGTTGTCATTTGAACGTAACTACACACAGAGAGAGAGAGAGAGAGAGAGAGAGAGAGAGAGAGAGAGAGAGAAGACAAGAGAGAAGGGAAGAGAAAGAGAGAGAGAGAAAGGGAGGGAGAAAGGGAGAGAGAGTAGTACCTCTCTTACCTCTCTGCTCTTCCATAGCCATGGCATAATTGGCATTGTCATTTAAACGTAACTATACAGAGATAGATAGATAGATATATACATATATATATATATCGTCACAAACAGATATAGAGAGAGAGAGAGAGAGAGAGAGAGAGAGAGAGAGAGAGAGAGAGAGAGAGAGAGAGAAGAGAAGAGAAAAAAAGAGAGAAGAGAAGAGAAAGTGAGAGAGAGAGAGAAAGGGAGAGAGAGTAGTATCTCTCTTATCTCTCTGCTCTTCCATAGCCATGGCATAATTGACATTGTCAGCTAAACGTGACTACACAGAGATAGAGAGATAGATATATACATAGATAGATATACTTAGATAGATAGATAGATCGATATACAGAGAGAGAGAGAGAGAGAGAGAGAGAGAGAGAGAGATAAGTGACACACTCCATAGCAAGCATCGTCTATGTTGTCCAATAGCCGGTTTAGAGTTCGATTACGATGTCGCGGAGCCATCCCCTCCTTCCTCTTGAATCGTGATCGTTAGCTGATTGGTTGTATTCAGCGCCGCCAGCGCTTCTCTGAGTTCTCTGCTCTTGCCCTGCTGCTTTCATCTCTCTCTACGGGCCTCCTCCACATACACTAGAATCGGCACACTAGAACTGGCACACTAGAATTGGCTAAACCGTGCCAATATATACAATAATACCACAATGCGCGCCGCGCAAGCACTTCGTGATCAAGTCCCCACGTGCTCTGTAGACAAGGCATTCACTTCCCTTCCCCCCTACCTCGTCGTCAGAGTCGCCTAATTGGTCCTTCACTAATATCCTGTTCCCTGTTTCCCGCCATTTGTATCGGTTTGTCCCATTCCCGCCATTTGTCTCGTTGAATTTCCCGCTAAATTTCCCAGTCCCGCCGATTTTTGACCGCCATTTCTCTCGTTCCCGCTATTTTTGACTTCCATGGCCGCTTACTTTCCATTCCCGCCATATGTCTCGTTGAATATCCCGCTAATTTTCCCAGTCCCGCCGATTTTTGACCGCCATTTCTCTCGTTCCCGCTAATTCTCCCCGTCCCGCCTATTTTTGACTTCCATGGCCGCTTACTTTCCCATTCTCCGACATATTATCGGTGATTAATTTGCCCCCAACTTGGTCACATTCCCTCTGATCATGAGTCTGATGAGATTGCTTCATTCTCCGCGCCATTATCGGTGATTAATTGTCCCCCTCCCGCTTATTTTACCTGTCTCTGATGAGCAGTTCCTTTTTTTTTTTTTTTTTTTTTCTTGGTTGATGAGCGGTTCTATTTTTCCCATTCTCGGCGATATTATAGGTGAATTAATTGGCCACATTCCCGCT